GATCAGCAAATCATTCCAGACTTATCCTGCACTCCGTGCTAATCGATTGGGTAGATCACACTCGTGCCCTTCTTCTCTGCAGTATACTGGATGCTGCCCACTCATTTAGCGCTTCCATAAATAATTGTTCAATGTCACTTCCGGTTCACAAGTGACCACAACACATGTCTTTCCTCCTCTCCCACCACTTTCCTTGCTCCTTATGGAATCAATTGCATTGGCCATTATCAGTTTACTCTACATTCTGTTATGCTGTTTAGTTTTACTCAGATTTGTGAATTTATAATATATTTATTATTTTAGATTAAAAACTACAAATGTTTTAAGCTTTAGTGTTTGCTTCCTTTTTCTAGGTTTAAGTAGGCTGAGTAGATAGAGCACATCATTCAGTGAAATGGGTTGAAAACAGAGGACATGGTCATATGAGGAGATGGCACTGTCTTCATCTCTGACTCCTCTTTGGTAACTTCAATGCTCAGCCTATTTTATTTATTTATGTTTTCTTTAGGACAGCTGCAGTATATTTGTATATGCAAATCATGCATACTGCATTTTGTTATCTTAAAGCAGGGGTCCTCAAACTCCGGCCCCCTAGATGTTGCTGAACTAAAGCTCCCATGATTCTTTGAATTACATAGATAGCCAGAGAATCATGGGAGTTGTAGTTCAGCAACATCTGGGGGGCCGGAGTTTGAGGACCCCTGTCTTAAAGGAACACCATAGGCACTATATAGATTTAATCTATTTAACCCCGTAAGGACACATGAGATGTGTGACATGTCATGATTCCCTTTTATTCCAGGAGTTTGGTCATTAAGGTGTTAAAGTGGTTATGGTGCCTGGAGTCACCTTGCGCTGTCTCTTTCTTAAGTGTTAAAGCAATTTTCAGCAGATTAACACAGAACACGGGTCCCTAACCACCTACAGCACAGCCCCTTGGAGGTATGACTAGTTATACACTTATTTCTGCTATACCAATGCATACCAGCAGTGGGTTCTGTGATAGGCTGAAAGCAGTCAGCTGACTCACTTAGCTAATCACCCTTTGCTGCTTAGGTTAATGCTTTCTCATTAGCCCAAGCAGCTAATAAGGGAATAGGCTCCTGGAGATTCTCGTTTATGCACCAAAGATGGCACCATGGAACTCCAGACACTAAAAATGTGAATTTAATTATACCATTTTAATTGGGTGTATATCTAAAACATTTTTTAAAGCTGCATATCTTTTGTCTGCAGTCTTTGCAATCCCTCCCCTTCTTCCACAGCTCACTCTTTCTCTGAGCTAAAAAAATCAAACA